ACTATTCTGACAAGTGTGGCACTTACTTAGATGCACAAAGAGAGTGGGGCTCTTCCCTGCCACCCATGTACAAAACTCCCATTAGTGTTTGAATTTCACACACACACATCTGAGGGAACAAGAGGACCATTGTGCATACATTGGCAAATTAGAGATCTAGCAGAGCTGCTTTTCCAGCACTGCCAGATCATGTCTGAAGGAACTTGGTGTAAATGCTTTAAGACATATCCGTGTTTCACTGTGAGCAAGGTCGGGCTTATCATTGAGGAAGGAGCGCTTGCTCTCTGGTGCAGTAAGCATCTAGGCTTACTGCCACCACAGCATATATGTGCTTTACGCACTTTGAGCATGCTCTAGTTCCTGTAGGACCGAAGTTGTGCCTTTACAAAGGTCTGAGAGATGAACAAATGCTGAATCAAATTTTACCACCCAAAAATGCCTGCTAAACAGGAAATAGAAAACTTAGTGAGAAATTAAAGCCATTATTCTTGTCTCATGAACGAATGTCTACATAACTCCAAGCTGAGAACATTTTTATAGAGCAGAAAAGTCTCTTTTCAACAGATGTCTGTTAGACTGAGTTCTTTGATTCTGATTTGCACTGAATAGCACATCTATAACTTGAAATAGAAGCAATTGATTAAAAGTAATGGATCCAAAATCCAGACTCATTTCAGAGTTTGTTTATGCTTACTAGAAACTGCATAGTAGAAAGCAGTTGTTAGTTTCCAACTGCATTACAAAATGGGGAAGAAAGAAAACTATTACATTTAACCAAGGCAGTGGTAAACCAGTGGACAGCCTGCTAATTTAGCAGCACACAAGAATGATAGTTCTATTCTCACAGTAACTGGCTGTCATAGTCTTCTGTAACTTGCAGCATATAATCTAGTGGTAAAAGGATGAAAACCTGCATCTTACCTTTCAAGGTGTCCAGTTATCCTACAACTAAAGGGCATTTCTCCACTCTTAGTATTACCAATAGGAGTTAAAAAATAACATTACCTTTGTTTGCAAAGACCCAAGGAGTTTATGTATTTGGTAAGAGTATATGCAACAAGAGAACATTTTCTTTGTGTGTCTCTAAGAATGGAGGAGATTGAGTACTAGAAGATGCTTTCATATTAGGGTTCCTTTGCCTCCTGCCCCCATATTACATTAAAATCCAGCTAAACTTTCTCTCAGTCCAAAATCTGAACGCAATTCTTATACTACATCTGAGATGGACAAGTGTTACAGATACTTGAAAGCACATGGTCACTTGAGCTTCTGTTGTAGTAATATTTCAGCAAGACAGTTTGTTCAGTGTGTGATCAGAAGATCATAATGATTCATATTTTTTAAATGACATTTCTTCTGAGAGGTGAAATTAACAGGTAGTTTGGCACAGATATAGGTCATGGGTTCTATTTCCACTCTCAGGCTGGGAGGTTCTTTTGCTTGTTTACAGCATTCATTAGCAGGCGTACATAGGATGTCAACAGGTCATCCATTTTGTAACCCTGTCAGAAAAGAAAAAAGTCTTAAGTCTCTCAAAGTGCTCCAGAAGCAAAAATAGCTTTAATTTCCTCACTGTTTTATCTTCTTCGTAGGTTCTTCCTTGCATGGACATCTCCTCTTCCAACAGCTATCACTGTTTTGATAATTATTTATCTATTCCTCCCTCTGCTCTTTCCTTCATAGGTTTACAAAACTTTACAGAGCATAGCTCTACTGTCTCCTTGTCTGTCATTCCATAGATTGAGATCTTGTACTTAGGAATCCAAGCTCTTCTGTGAGAGAAGTTAGCCCTTAAATGTTTTTTTGTTATTTTTAAAAATTTACCTTTAAATATCAATACAGTGATACTAGTCTGAGTCTGTGAACAATCTGAAACCAATTCTTAAAAAGGTGGTACCAGTCATTGAAAAGTGTAAGATCTTACAAGGATGGCATTACTGCATAGATGGATCAAACCATGCAAGACAAAAAGCCTCTTACCTAGTTTTGTGGGTAAGTGCCATCTTTTCTTAGTGTTTCCAACAGAATTTTGATGTATGGAAAGAATCTGGGAAAATACTATTTTTCCTTGTCTCTTTGACTTATATCTTTGCATCAGATGGCATTATATATCCCTGAACCAGTTCTAAATTGCAATTTTATTGACATAGCAATGAATGCTTTTTGTATCTGTGGTGGTTTTAACATCTGTTTTGGCACCATGGTTTTGTAGCAATTCTGGATGTAAAGGAAAAATTAGGAGTTTCTTGTGTATAAATTGACAAAACTTTTCTTACCAGAGATGTCTCACATAAGATCCGGTTTCCTCGTACCAGGTTCCCTATTGTCATGTGAAAGTATGTGCTCCCACTGCTCCAATTGGAGATTTTATTGAAGGGGTAGACTGTTAAAATTTCCTGTAAGGGGAAACAAACTGAGCTATAGAACATTTCTCAAATGAAAATGGGCTGTTATGTAAGAAAGCCTGTAGAGCTGGAGCATTCTTTTTCTTTCCCACTTCCTTTATAAACACCGTGGATCAAGGTAGGTCTTGCATCCAGACTAGTGGTATATTGTATTTTCACCAAGCAGGTGAGTCTCAATCACTGTAATGAGACTTCCTTTCATTATATATTGACCTTTGCCTTAGCATGCTGACATTATATTTACAATAATCTGAAACTTGCTGAATATTTGTTTTCTCATTAAAAGCAGATACGATATTCATAAATGCTTTTGCCTGGGAACTTGGTAAGACCAGACTTGTTTGGGTTAGAGAGCTGGTGAACTCTGTCATTTGACCTGATCTTTTAGAAAGCTTGGGTTTCTTGCAAAGCATTTTTCTGAAGTAGGTTCCCTAGTGCACCATCTGTCCATCTGCCTGATCTTACCACTTTGCCCAGGTCCATCATGATTACCACTTCTTTTTTCAGAGATGCTCTACAGTGTTTCTTTTCCAATGCAAAAAAACTGCAAATAAGTGATTTGAGGCAATGCCATTTTCTTCAGTTTCACACAGAAAATGAATAGAGGGACTCTGTCCTCTCCTACCATTCAGGGAGAAGGTCCTGTTGCTGTCCCTAAATTAGCTGGTCAATTGAATCCTTCCTTAGATAGACCCTTGAGAAGCAACTGTTACCTTTGTCTTCTGATGTATCAGTGAGACTCCTTGCTTGTTGATTGCAATCAGCACAATTTCTGGGAAATTTGGCTCCGAGGTTTGCTATAAATGAGTAACAGAGCAAGACAAGCAGAAAATGAAGAAATTATCTGTATCAGGTGCATAGTGACCTTTAACAGTGTCCAGTGCTGCTTGTTCTCTTTACCAAATAAACACTGAAACAGAAAGCTCTTCAATATTATGTAACTATTGCTAAGGATGACTTTTTTGACCATACATTGATGGCTTGAGCAGCTGCTACATAAAAGCAGAATCAAGTGCATTATTTCCTAGGCTATCTGATTAGGCTTAATGGTTGGTTGCAAACCACTTAAGAACCTAGCGAAGAGAAATTAAAGGTAGAGGTGGGAAATGATTCCTGGAGGTATCCACTGCATAATGAGAGGATTAGTACAGTTCTGTTCTGAGGGAAGAGTCCCCAGAGATACAGAATTTGGCAGCATTTTGTTGTGGAGAACAATGAGAGGACAATTAAGTATCTATGTAACTAAAAGCCCCCCCATCTACTACATAGTTGTAATATTAGGTATTACAACTGGAACAACAACATAGCCAGTAAATAACAGGCATAGTTCAGAATGGATAAAGAACCCATCTCCCCCCTTTCAAGGAACTGCGTTTTTTTCAGTAGATGTTTGGAATTCAGCTTTATAGTGTATTGTCACTTACACAGATAAAGAATTACATTCAGTTCATAGCCCCCAGTGCTGGTGTGCTACCAAAGCCATTCATACAGGCCTTTAAACCTACCTTCACCTCAAAGAAGGCTGATCCAAACGTTGGCCACCGGTGTATCATTTTCAAGAACGCAATCTTGGCCTCATCCACAGTTTTTCCTTCATGTTTGCTATATGCTGCAGTAATGCTCTTTTTATAAAAAAAGGATACAAAGCCTATTCAGTTGGAGAGAGGCAGGTTTCCAGTGTCCAGCATTAGCATTAAAGACAGCATCAGATCATCACCAAGATTAGTCATTTGCCCACAGCAACAGAAGACTGTGAAAATGAAAATAGCCTACCATGCCATAGGGCCAGGTGGAGCCAGAACCTCTTCAGTGTTCCTTACTAATGAGTTGGGTGAAGGAAGTCCCGGAGCCCAAGATAATGGATTTGAGGCCAGAGGGGCAATATAGGATGAAATAAAATTCAGAAAGCCAGTGTTCAACACCCACAGACATGTATCACGTTTTCTGCTGAAACATGTAGGGTGAAATTTTCTTCTGTATTTGAAATAGTGTCCCATGTTTTCCTTAGTGGAGTAAGTGACAAGTGCCTGCTGAAACTTTCTTGCCTTTTGGTGGGTAGAAGAGCCTTTTGCTGTGAGTACATGCACACAGTGCAAGGTGACTGATTTGCTGGCCAAACTATGAAATATTTAGGACACTTATTAATTTTCTGTTTCTCTACAAGATCCTCAAATCCCCAATCCCATCACTGACTTTCCTATCTCTACCTCTTCTTCGGGACACTGAAAATAGATTAGTATCTCCAAGAAAGATGCACATCTCAAATCATTCGTGCAGGCCTGCAGATATCTTCCAGAGCTTTGGTAGAGAGGATGCAAAAACTGAATTCTAAGTAGCAAAACAGCAACATCCAATAGCATCCCTCCTTAGTGTTTTCAAAGACTGTCAGATTAAAACCACAGTGTGGCTCCATGTCTTTCTTCTTTGATAAAGCTCTGTGGAAGTAGTATGAATACTGAAAGCTGATGTTCTTACCTTCTTCCACTCATCTGGTGAGATTGCTCGGAGCAGATTGTCTGGTACCAGCTCCTTCAGGATTTTGGGGATGGTTGCCAGCTGTGTGCGGTCATTGTTGAAGCGCACTTTATAAATCAGCCCTGCCAGCTGGACAGCTTCATCCTTGGAACACTTGTGGTAGCCTCTGAGGTACTTTGGCAACTCCTGGAAGAGACCAGCTCTGAATCAAGACAGAATTGGCTGAAGCAAACACTGACTTATGCATGCTAAATCTGTGAGGTCAGGATACAAGTCTCACCAAACGCAGTCCAAGGGCATCCTAAGAACTTTTGAATCTTTCTGGAGGTTCTCTGGATGATCTTTAAAGGTCCTTTCCAACCCAAACCATTCTATGATTCTCCATACAATTATGAGTAAGACGAGCACCTCCAGGGAAAAATTATGCTCCTTACATAAGCAGTATAGCTAAGGTGTGAACGCTGTGAGAAATAAATCTGCTCTTGAGGCTGAGCTGTGCCCTCCAGAGGCATTCTTCTGGAGGCTCTATAATGCAAGCCTTGCTGAGGGAGATAGTAATACTCCAGCAGGCTTACTTTCTCAGGAGTATTTCTTGGATCACATTGTTTGCCATTATTTTTATGCTTTACAGAGCTGGTTACCTGGTGGTAATGAAAAATGGAATCAGCTTTCAGGTCCTTCCCAGGAGTTACATTCAGCCACAGCTTTCTCATGAAGTATACCTCATAAGCCGCAGACATAGCCCCTAAGGAAACATCATCTTGTTAGTATTCGCTGTATCACTGTAGAGTTCTGCAGTTTTTAAATGGTTTGTAAGTTTCTTCAGCAATGTAATTCTGGTTTTAATAGTAACAAACAAAATTAGTAACAAAAAAATACAAAAAGCCATTTTAGATGACCAAGAAGGTTATTAGTTGTCAGTTCCTGGACACTGATCATGCAGCGATCTAAGGTGCTGGCTCTTCAGAGACAGAGGAAGAAGTTGAGGATAAAAGCAATATGAGTGTTTGTTATTTGTTGGTGCTTATGACAGCTGCCTGCTGATGTGCAGCACACCCGAATTCAGTTATATTGATGCAGGTACATTCCCTGATGGCTGTGTTTACAGAAATGAACTGTGATTTAGTGTACCCACATCTTTATGCTGTGATTTTCAGAGCTCCTAGCAGTTTCATCAGCTGTGGGGAGAAGAGGGAAGTTAGAAAGTCTTAGATATGTAGATAGTGCTTCAGGAAATTGAACCTCAGCTGTCCTGAAATAAGGAAAGGTCAGGATAAATTAATATGAAATTTGAGTGGAGTTTGAGTTTGATGCAGATTTCAAACTGTGTGTTATACATGGGGGTGAAATGCAAAGAATTGCTGTCATTAGTGTTGTATTGTTTTATTCTAACTAGTGTTCCCCTGGCAATATGACTTGTGCTTTGGTATCATCAGCTAATAATTTGACAACAATTTTCTAAACAACCCAAGGAATGGGACTGACACTGTGCAAAGAACCTATTTACATGTGTTGGCTGATACCTGATCTGGCAATGCATGAGCCTTGGACTGTGAAGAGAATCAACCTATCTAACTTGGATGCATTCAGCTGTGTGTTTTGGGTGCAACAGGTCAAAAAATATTTGGTGTCAAGTAGAAATTTCTGGAGAGATCTCCCCACAAAGATGTTCTGGTGTTTCTGATAGCCAGTGCTTGGCAGCATCAGGTCACTGGATCTTACTGCTGGTGCAGGCAGTAACCATGTGTGTGCAAACAAAAATTATATAATAAGGCTCTGCCACACACTTTCCAAGATGGAGTAAATCCTACTGAATAAATTTGCTGGTTTCCCCAGTTCAGCACAGCATGTCATGCAGATTCTTGCCATGCTGGCATTCTCCTTACCATCTTTCCCTGGTTTGTTCCTCCTGTTCCAGTCTGTCACCTGCCTTAGTGAGTCAAAGAAGTAGTCTGCTTCGTTCTGACTGATCACCTGGAAGAGGTCAAGCAATGAAGGAGGGAAAGGAAGGATTAGTAGATCATATAAAATACTGCCTGTGCCAACATACCCAAGTATTGGTCTGAATTTTCTTTCCCTGTCTACAGTGAGAGACCACAATTGTGGCAGAAAAGACAGAGGCAAGGCGAAAGAAGTAGAGAAATAGGAGGAGGAAGGCTCAAATGACTTGCATTTCATATGGGGATTTTTATTGCGTCTTCTGTTGCTTTTTTTCTTTCCAGCCTGCTTATTGAAGTCAAGCTGAAGATGCCTACCTTATTCTTAGTCACCTCCTCATTGTAAAATATTGCCACATACCAAGTTCCTCTTTTCAGGAACGCAGCGTGTTAGAAAATCCCCGTGCTTGGACTCAGTGCTGCTTTTGCATTGATCACAGTTCCAGAGAGAAGGGACCTCTCAGCAAGGCAGCCTACCTTCAGCTCACGCAGGGCAAGCTTCTGAGAAACTAGAGAGAAATTGACTGGTGCTGGTCAGCCACTGCTCTCCCTTATCTAGTGCATACTGTACATGTGCAGCACATCTCCTGGGCAAAGCCTGAGTGGAAAAGGGCTGAATCCAGCAGTATACATATATATATGCAATTTTCTACCATTCCAGCAGCTGCAAGAAAGCCCATGTCTTCTCTGCTTTTAGTACTACCTGTGTACCAGTAGATTGATAGAAACTCTGCATCTCTCTCCAGCCCCTTCAAGAGACTCAAAAAAATAATAGGTGCTAAAAGTTTGAGTCTAGGTTGTATCGACTCAGTAAGACAGAAGCAGTAATGACCTTCTCTTTTGTTTGGCTTCATATGTGGTTGTTCAGGTGGTCTGGTAAATAAGTAAGAGTGGAGGGGGGAATCTGGCAACCCTGCCATAGCTGAGAAGAGTTACCTTGTCTGCAATCTTCACAAAGAGGCTGAAACCTTCCCAGGAGCTCAGCTGCAATTTGGAAGCGATGTTCTGACACAGAGTACGGATTTTGGTGTTTGTTCCCACATCAAATGTCTATGAGATAACAAGACGCTTATTACAGAGAGGAGAGGAAGAAATGAGAACACTGAATGTCTTGAAACATGCTCCTGCATGAACACATCATGGCTGGGAAAATGGTCAAGGCTGGGAAAACAAGTAAGTTCTCACCTGTTCTGTTTCGTTGGGGAAGCAAATCTTGTGTAAGATCTTAGTATTGTTCTGTAAGATGGCCTCAACCTCCACAGGATGAGGTGCCCACTTCCTGGAGCCACTCCTGGAAAATGCCACCACCATCATAAGAGAGATCAGTGCTGGATGTCTAATCTTTGAGGAGCTGAACAACAGTATTCCATCTGAACAACAGACTCCATCCAAAAAGCTAGTACTGTGTGATGGAGTAGGCTCCAATGGACCTTCACCCCAGTGCAAATTCAGTGTATTAACAGCAAGAAACTGTTAATTTAGGGTCATATTAGTATGTGTGTTAAAAGGGTGTTCTACTCTGCAAGGAGGTTGCATGAATAAGGCACCTTCTTAGCCCGTACCATTACTCCTTCTATGTATTCAGCAACATTTTTCCTTATTGTTATTGAAGCGTGAAGATAATGGCCACAAGGAGAAATACATTTTATTTAATTCTTGCATCAGCAATAAGATGTGCATTCAGATACAAAATGAGTTACAGTTCAGGAGGCAATTACCAGAAAAGTTTGGAGGGCTACTAGAAGCATTACATTTTATATAAGAGCTGGCATGTAATCACTGACTCAAGAGGTGCTTAAGCTGTACAATCCCAGTTCTTTGAAATTATTCCTCAGAGCAGAGCTGCCTTTTAAAGCAAAGCAATTGGCCCTGAAGTCTGAGTCATGCAAAAAATTTGATACAGTGAGGACAAATCTAGCACATTACCTTCTGGGGCTGGTATTTTCCTGCCCTTAGTGGCACAGAGCAGACTGTTTGGAGATTTGTACACTGTAGCTCATGGGCTAAAACTCCTCTCTCTCTCCTCTCATGGGCTAAAACTCCTCTCTCTTCCTGAAACTATCTCTCAGGAAGAGAGCTTAGTCTGGCATCCAGCTTTAGTTGCATGGATTTGAAAACTATTTTTTTTCCATTAAATAAATTAGCAGTTCCATTTGGAGAAAGAAAACTTGACTGTAACTAAGTTGAACAGTATGTGCTTTGGTACTGTGCAGGCACTGTTAGGAGTGTGGACCTGCCCTACTCAGTCATCTGTTCCTGGACTTGCAGCAGAGGGAGGGCATAGGAGACCAAGGAAGTGCAGCAGCTTGGCTGGAGGCACAGGGCCATCTCTCCTCACAGCCTCAGCTAGGAATTCATTGCCAAGGCAAGATCTGCTTAACACCCATGTTTGCTGGTTCCCTGGCCAGGAGTCTGGGGATGAAGCTGTAGAGCTGTTTATGGAGGAAAAGATGTACCCAAGCACTCAGTTGGCTTCCACTCCAGGTATTGTAGGTCAGTCCTTTGAGCTGCCTGCTCTTCCCTTTCCAAAGACAGCAGGTTACTTACAGGGAGAAATTGGACTAGGTGATCATTGTAGGTCCCTTGCAACTGAAATATTCTATTCTTTCTATTCTGAGCAGATGTAAGTTTAATCTTAAGAAAAGAAATGCTCTTAGAAAACAACATTTGTCTTTGTTCTTCTTCCCATCCCCCAGCCTCCATATGTGGGGCAGTTTAGCAGATATAATTCTCCTCCCAAACAGCCCATTCTCCTTTCCCCTCCCCATTTTCCCACTCTAAAGAATTTCTGTACAGCTCAACAGGGCTTAAAGCGTGAATAGCACATGATACAGGGAGGCAGGAAATTTTCAGTCTTCTCCATAGAAAAAACCAATGAATAGCATTCCTTGCCATGCATTTTTCAGGCACTTCAAAGGCAAGTTCAATGTGCAGTGACATTTCCCCAGCAGTGCCAAAAGGTCCACTGCAAAGGGGGACAGCCACTGCGTTAGCATTCCCCTCGAGCATGGTCCACAGGGCTTACAGACCAAATGCAGAGCCCAGCTTAAGAGAAGGGGGAGGATGGAGGAGCTGGAGGGAGAAATCAGTGGGCAGCTTCCTCACAGAAGAGGTCTGTGGCAGGCAAGTGGTAACTCACAGCAGCATCAGAAGGGAGAAGGCTGGGGTTAATCTTGATACCAAAGCACTGTGTTCTCAGAGTGTCAAGCTGGGTAATTCCAGTGCCTGGAGGAATCTAAGGAAACCTTCCCCCTACAGTTTAATTGATCCTGCCTGAAAACCAGGTATCCCGTCACTATCTCTGGTCACATCAAGTTCCTTACATCAAGAAGTCATTCAGAAGGTTGGGAAACACTGTGAGCTGGAGGCCTTATTGCTTCTACCCTCACCAGGAAAGGGGTAATGCCTAGAGGACCGAGAAGTGCCCTGGTGTGAGCCGCCAGGTAAGTCTCAGGGCTTCGCTCATTTGGGTTTCCTCAAAGAACAGGAATTGATTGTGTTGATCCTCTCTTCCCAGCATGAATCTGCTATGTTTCACCACAGAAAACCACCAAAGCCACATCAGCACTCTGCAGATATCAGTGACTTCAGTGGTGCCACCTGTCTATGAGTAAAATCTAGTGTTTTTAGCTGCAAATGTGCAGCTCTGAGCTACTGATTCAACAAACTCAAGACTAATCTTCAGGCACATATAAGGGGTATAAGGACATGCTACCTCACCAAAGGAAAGCAAGGTCAGGACCACGTCAATGACAGCTCAGGACTTCATTTCAAGCTGTGTGCCCTTAAGTATGTTTGAAATACTCAGCTCTGGGAGTCAAGTGATGACATGTGATGCTGAAGTTTTAAAAATGTTGCTAACTCTGAAAGAAAAAGTGAAACTGTGACACAGACCTTTCCTAGCAATTCAAAGTTTGTGAGAGAATTAAGAATGATAGTTTAAAAGAAAAGGATGTAAAGAGAGGAAGAAAAGTAAGAGCCTCAATATTTTAGTCCATGTGATTTTTTGGCACCTGACTAACAATTCTTGAACAGTTTGGGCTGGCTATATTACTGGCTATTACCTCATCACTCTCTGAATCCTCCGGCTGCACTCCAGGGCCAGTGTCTCTTTCTGACGTGTCTCCATGAACTTCTGGGCATGTTTCAGCAGTGACTTGCTCGGTGGGAACAAGCCAGTGCAGAGCCAAAAGAGCTGCCAGCCCTTGGTCATGCTGTACCTGTGAACACAAAGCAAACGGTTCTGCTATAGCCACAGATAATTCTTTGTCTGACCACACACACCAGCTATGGGGATCAGAAACGCACTCCCATCATGGTATGTTGTGCCATTCAGCAGAGAGCTGCAAATCAACAGAGCCTTCACATAAGATCTGGCAGCCGTTTGCTGTGCAACAACCACAGCCCGTATGTGAAGACAATGCTAAATCCTGGCTGATAAATATTTATGACAGTTACAAATCTCATGAATAAATATAAGCTCCAGTTTAACAATCATTTTGGCAGCAGTGATCCTAGTGCCATCCTCTTGGAAAGCCACTGTCAGTTTGCTGTTCAAGCTCACATTTATTTGGATTGTTCTTTATCAACTCTTTGTATTCACCTGCTCTCTGTGCTATCCAGCTTTGCTCACAGCAGAAGCACTTTGCTTGTAATTGACTTTCCCTTACACACGCTCCTGCTCTGAACAATGAGCAGGTAGATGACATCGTGTAATGAGGTAGTTACAGTTCTTAAAAACTCCAGATCAAGTTTGTACAATTTTCAGGCAGAAAGCCAGT